AACATGTGTCTACCTTACACGAGTAAAAGAGTGTGTGATGTGCTTGCCTCGTGTGGGAGTGCTATCTCCCATGTTGAACATTGTTACAATCTTGAGGGCTGCCTCATGAATACCAACCGTTCATGGCCATTATAACAACTATGAAAGAAACATTGTCTTTAGATAGCGTTTATACAATGCTAATGGATGCAGAGTCCCAACTGGCAGGTTTTGATGAACAAACTGATTTACTACCAGTGAATGCGAATCTCTCACAGGGCATACAAGTCGAGGACATTTCAATGGTTCTAACCGCCAAGACTACAGGCCAAGCCATTCTGCTCATGCATCTGGTATGAGAAACCATGGCAGGGGCGTGGGCGAACCCGATTACAATGCCAACTTTGTGGCAAGCTTGGACATTTAGTCGATCGGTGCTGGCATCGATATGATGAGGAGTTCACATGTGTAGCAACTGATGGTTATGTTCAACTAAGAAGGCCCAGCAAGTGTGCACTATAATTCTGGGAAAACCAGTTCAGGTTTGCTGTTCTAATGGATGTGTGGATGGTCTCCTAGCATACAACCACAGGCAAATGGTTACTGCAGCCGATCGATGGATAGTAGACTCGGGGACGACACACCACGTTACTCCGGATGCATCCAATATGATAAGCCAATCTGAATTTCTTGGGCCAGGTAAGTTAACTGTTGTAATGGAGTAGCACTTGGTATTGATAGCATTGGAAAGCTGCTTTATCTTCTACTTCACGTGTATTGATGCTAAATGAACTTACATGTCCCGTATATAACCAAAAATCTTCTCTCCGTCTCTAAGCTTGCTAGGGATAATAGAGTCTTTCTTGAGTTCCATGCAACGAAATGCTATGTTCGTGATGAAACAACTGGGCAAGTCTTATTGAGTGGTAAGAGGCAGATGGGTTATACTCTTTTGAGAAAGCATGTACAGCAATCAAAGGTGATGTCAATGTAGTTTCGAAGTCCCTTCTAGTAGCTGAGTTGTGGCACAGGCGTCTAGGTCATCCCTCGTTTGACACTCTCAACAAAATAGCAAAGGTTCTTGATGTAAAGCTCTCGTTTGATGTAAACAAAACTTGTGTTGCCTGTCATGTAGGCAAAAGTCACAAACTCCCATTTGTGCAATCTGTTACTGAATACAACTCTCCTTTTCAACTTGTGCATACTGATTTGTGGGGGCCTCCTCATATTTCTTCAAATGGTTTTCGCTACTACATATCATTGTTGATGCTTATACTCGATATACATGGATTTATCTACTTCGCACTAAATCCCAAGCTGTTATAGCGTTTCAGCTTTCATAAAATGGTACATACACAATTTTGGAGTGTCCATCAAAGCGGTCCAAAGTGACTGGGGAGGGGAGTTTAGATCGTTTACTGACATTTTAGCCAAGGATGGAATTGTACACAGGTTAACATGCCCGCATACGTCTGAGCAAAATGGCAAGGTCGAAAGGAGACATCGACATCTAGTTGAGATGGCACTAGTGTTGTTGTCTCAAGCCTCAATGCCCATTAAATTCTGGTCATATGCTATGACTACTGCCGTAAGTGTCATCAACAAGCTACCAACAAAAGTCTTCAAGGAGTTTCTCCCTTTGAGAAGTTGTATGGTAAGCAACCGGATTACAACATGCTTAAAGTTTTTGGGTGTTTGTTTTCCCCATCTTCGGTCATTTCAGAGACATAAGTGGACTTTCAAAAATCGTTTCAAATATCAGGTTGCTTCAAGATGTGCAAGGTGACAGCAAGGTGGCATAATCAAAGTGTTAATGAATTTCTGGAGAGTTCATCACCACCATATGAGGAGAATCCTAATTCACATGCAGAGTCTGGCCTACACATGGAAGACAATACTGACTTACAGGGAGCAGTAGTGGTCATGTTGAGCAGCACTCGGAACAACTGAAATGAGGTGTTGAACCTCTCGAGAACATGGTGATGCAAGTAGCAGTAGCCAAACAGCATGCAGGAAATCTAGTGAACAAGCTGAAACACATCAGCTGCAGAATGCTCATCCCTGTTGACAAGGAGTAAATGTGGTGTTTTTAAACCAAAGGCATTCTCAAGTCACTTTGACAATGCAGTACCTACTAATATAAAAGCAATGCAGTCTTCAGATTGGAAGATGTTCAGGCTGAAATCGATGCTTACAAAAGAATGAAACATGGACACTAGTTAAGCTTCCACCTGGGCGAACTGCAATTGGCTGCAAGTGGATGTTTAAGGTCAAACACAATCCTGATGGCTTAATTCTTCGGTACAAGGCTCGGTTAGTGGCTAAGGGATTCACACAAGTTCCTGGACATGATTTCTGCGATACCTTCAGTCCAGTGGTTAAATTCAGCACAGTGAATGTAATTCTCACCATGGTTGTGTCTAACGCATGGGAGCTGAGGCATATAGACATAAACAATGCCTTTCTCAACGGAGATCTTAAGGAGGACGTATTTATGCATCAACCGCCTGGCTTTGAGCAGATTCTGATGATGGTTCCATCGTGGTATGCAATCTGCAGAAGGCCTGTATGGGTTTGAAGCAGGCACCTCGCAATTGGCACTCCAAGTTAAAAGAAGCGTTACTGGAAATAGGATTTAACGTGTCCACGAGCAGACTCATCCTTGTTCTTTAAAGGCAGCAGCAGTGATCGATATGTGTTGGTGTATGTATATACTGATCACGAGAGGGTCGTCCAATGGGATTAAACAGTTGTTGCTATGCTGCAAGACAGATTTTCCCTCAAGGATTGTGCTTAAGCTACTTCCTTGGCATTGAAGTACTAAGGACTAGCAACTCACTTGTTCTTAGCCAAAGAAGTTTGCGTTAGAACTACTGGAGAAACTGCATGAAACAGCTGTTGCATGCTCTACGCCTATGACATTGGCTTGCAAATTGACTCGCGAAAAGGAGATTTGTTAGAGGATGCGAGCGAGTATAGGAGCATAGTGGGCTCACTCTTTTATCTTTGTCATACTCGGCCTGATTTGTCCTTGAGTGTGGGCAAAGTAGCCCATTTATGCATGCTCCTCGAGTAACATCTTGCTGCAGTGAAAAGAATTCTTCGGTACCTAGCAGATACTGTAAACTACGGGTTACGATTTTCTCCAGTTGACAACAGAGTGGTAATCTCAGCCTTGCAGATGCTGACTGGGGTGCTAATCTGGATGATCGAAGGTCAGTGTCAGGCTATGGAGTGTTCATAGACAAGTGCCTTGTTGCATGGAATTCAAAGAAGCAACGTTCAGTGTCAAGAAGCACCATGGAAGCAGAATATAAAAGTGTGGCTGATGCTGCAACTGAAGTCACATGGATCAGCACGTTGTTAACCGATCTAGGCATACAACAGCAAGGAAAATCTGTAATTTGGTGTGACAACACTATGCAGTGGCTATGAGTGCCAATCCAATATATCATGCACAATCCAAGCATGTAGAATTGGATGTGCACTTTGTAAGGAAAAGGTGGCTGCTGGGCATATTTGTGTCAATTATGTACCAGCTGCACATCAAGTGGATGGGTTCACCAAACCCCTGTCAAAAGAAGCGTTTGAAGAATTTCGTGAGAAGGTATGCGTTGTGCAGCGATGAAGGGAGGAAGGAGAAGATGTAGGGGGAATATTAGAGGTATATGTATGTATGCGTGCAAGTAATCTGTGTAAGTGGCAGTTAGCTACTAGGAGTCTGTTAGGAGTTGGTTATGCTGTTAGTATGGTTGTAACTGCTTATATTTCTTGTATAAAGAGCCTGCATAATGAGCACTCAGGATATGCTTGTGTTGTTGAATATACTTGAGTTTAGTTAAAGAGTGATAACTCAAGAACCTCCATATATAAGTACCTTATGACGATGTGAGAAACAAGAGAAAAAGAAAAAAATAGTAGCTATTTTTTGTACAGAGAAGAATCAGAATGCCGATTTCTCGAATTGCAGTAGGATCTCCAGCTGAGGCTGGCCAAGTGACGCTCTCAAAGCAGGTTTGGCCGAGTTTATTTCAATGCTCATTTTTGTTTCGCCGGTTCAGGCTCGGGCATGGCTTTCAGTACGTTTCAACTTTTCCTTTCTCATCTCCTAAAGTTTAGCAATTCCCATTATTTTTCTATCAAGTATCTAACTGGTATATGTTTCTTTGGCAGACAAGCTCACTGACAACGGTGCCGCAACACCGGCCGTATCGTATCTGCATGACTGGCCCATGCTTTGGCGCTGTTTGTGGCCGTTTCAGTTGGTGCTAAAATCTCCGGTGGACACGTAAACCCCGCTGTCACATTCGGTGCCTTTGTCGGGGCCACATTACCTTGATCCGAAGTATTTTGTACTGGGTTGCTCAGTTGCTTGGATCCGTGGTCGCTTGCTTGCTTCTCAAATTTTCAACTGGTGGATTGGTAAGACTGAAAAGCGAAAGCAAGTTTAACCAATGGTTATAATATATGTTCTGAATTGTTTCTTTTTATGATGCAGGAAACACCTGCATTTGCCTTCGTCTGGGTTGGGAGCATGGAACGCGGTGGTTTTTGAGATCGTGATGACCTTCGGTTTGGTTTACACAGTTTATGCCACCGCTGTCGACCCAAAGAAGGGTGACATCGGGATCATTGCACCCATTGCAATTGGTTTCATTGTGGGTGCCAACATCTTGGCAGGCGGTGCCTTTGATGGTGCATCCATGAACCCTGCAGTCTCCTTCGGACCTGCCGTAGTCAGCTGGACATGGGACAACCACTGGGTCTACTGGCTCGGTCCATTCATCGGTTACCATTGCTGCTATTGTCTATGAAGTCTTCTCATCGCCACGGACCACACACGAGCTTCCCACTTCAGAATTTTAAGATTTCCGGTGTTATGTGTTCTATGTGATCCATTAATAAGGGTTTTAAGAAGTTTGGTGGGTCACTTTGGGTTCATAATTGTGGGTGCCTTTTATTCCCTGTTATTTGTATTTCTCTTTTGTTAATTGTTGATTCCAATGAAACTTGCTCACTTATCATATCAATCCCAGTAACTAAATGTTTCTGTTCATATAAGAAATACACTGCAAATTTCTAAAGTTCAACATATATTATCATGGAATATCGAAGTTTTTGTACTTTTTATTCCATAATTATTGAATTAAAAGGAGAAAAAAACCATAACTTCCTACCTTCAATTTTTCTTCTTGTGACGTTTCCCCAGTTTCGACCGTCGTTGCTTAAACAAATGGAGGTAAAGATTCAACCAAAGGAAGGGATAGATGAGAAGAACAACCTGAATCGAATCGAAACATGTCAAGTGTCACTAAAATCCACAATTGAAAAAAAAACTTTTGGAAAAACTATGTATGTACTATGTACAGAACAGATATTGCCATGATATATAAAGGGAAACCCTGTCACACATATGATGCCCTGTCTCAGGTTACAGAGGCGAAAGCCACATTATTCAAGACTGAGCAACATAAGCATTATCGATTACAAATATGGATCTGAAGGAAAACCAAGGATTCATGTTTGCAGATGTAAAAGACCGCTCATACCGTGACAAAATCATAATAGCTAAAGGGAAGATTAGCAAAGAAATCCCCGTAGAGGTTCTTCTCCTTTATAATGAAGTGCTTGGTACATGAGCCACACTGCATTGAAGGGAACAATGGATAAGAGAAATAAGATGTAAAAGCAATTATAAAGTAAGACAATAACTACCAATTCAGAGCATGTATGAATGTTAATTTAACTCACTTTCACCCGGAGCAAGGCCCATGGGATACAGCACAATGAATGTAGTGTACCTGAAGGAAGTAAACAACTTATAATTCAATAAAAATGCCAGCAAGCGATTCTACTTGGTAAGGAAAATTTCAGACCTCAGGTAGGTGAGCCAAGATGGACAACCTCCAAAGATATTCAGTGCATAATGCGAATACCGAATTACCTGCAGATAGGATGTTAAAGTGATATGTAATTTACTTCAAACTCCAAAACAAGCGTGAAAACGGGAACACAAAATGATGCTGAATGTAAAACCATGCAGCAATAAATTGGGATAGATTATGCACAAGGTGTATACTATCATGTTATGAAAGAATGAAATCAGCATAGTTAACTACTGCTACTACCAGAGAAAAAAACAAAGGGGAAATGGGGAAAAAGAGCAACAACAATAATGACAAAACACTCAGAAAAAAGAGAGAAAGAAGCCATGAGCCTTACAAATCATAGAAGGAAAAACAGATAATATGATCGTTTCAAGAGTTTGACTAAATAAAGAAATTACTCGACAAAATGGGTATATGTATGTAAATTGAAGCTTGCAAGTTCTATACAGTAAACCGAAGGGAACATAAACTCAGACAAGAACATTGAGCACTACAAAGACACTGTAAACTTACTGACACTAGATCGCATCTAGGATGGAAACTATATCTGAGTTTGATAGATTTCCCCTTTTACGAGTTGACAGCCTGTTAGATCGACTGGTATTTCACGGCACATGTAACAATGCATTTGATCATCCAACATCGATAATAAATTTAATTGTTTTAGATGGTTTACTACCATTAACTGTCTTCATATATGTTAGTCACCTGTTAAGAACAACAATGATGCATTCATATCTTCTACCATAATTAGGTAACATGCAGTTATGAAAGCTCATTTGAAAATCTGATTGTATTTATAGAAACCAAATTCAAGTAGATAGATCAATACAAATGCTCACCTCAGTTAGGCTCCAAGCAAAAAATGTTATGAAAGCAGGTACCTCCTGGACCTGTTATTATCAGATGAAAATAAACTGAGAAGCAAGGATTTATCAATACAATTCACTTTTTGAGCTACTGGCCATCATTGTCTCAACAAAACCACCAGACAAGAATGCTAAGATACTCTTGGCTTTATATTGCATTGTTCGATGCTTAGGCACTAGGCAGCCAGTGCATCAACAAACAATTGAAAACAATATAAGGGAAAACTGAGAACCTCAGGAATTCGGCAGACAATTGCTAACAAGAAATGTGTTCTTCCACTCCATTGCATCAGAGGAAACAACACTCCACTTGGAACAATCCCTTCAATTATTCCACAACGCCACATCAGAACTCAGAAACCAAATCCATACTGCTAAGAACGCCTAGAGTATGAAACCCTAAAGAAATTACCTATTGCTCCATGAACAACTTCCAAGAACGCACAGGTTTGCAACAAACCTTCAAAGAAAAAAAGGGATAGAATCAAACTATAAATCCATGTCCCCCCACAGTAATGAATCTCCAAGTCAGAGGGGAAAAAAGTTAGAATCTAAATTATTGATAAAACCCTTCATATTCCCTGCCATAATAGAAAATTGAAGTTCATCTTCCATCATTTTACAAGGAAAAAAAAGAGGGTTTTAAAAATAAATGAAGAAAGAACTGACAGATTAAGTCTCCAGCAGAAGCATAAGCGCCATTGACAGAGTTGGTGGCGATGAAACTGGTCAAAATTCTGAACAGAGAAATTGTCCTGCAAATAAAACAAGAACAAATGTAATGAATTAAGTAAGCCGGAAATGATGAAAGGGAATCAAAGAAAGAGGAATTTGAAATTACCATACCAGCCAAAAGCCTGGAGAGAGTTGTAAGCAAAGAGATAGAGCTTAAGCAGCTGAGCCATTGTGAATTACATGCGCGTTCTATCCTGGGTTGGAATTTTTTAGTTTATAGTTCTAGCTATATTTTGTTTCCCTCTTTGTCCTTTTCTGTCGAGCGGGCTTTTAAATCTACTTCAGCAAATCAGAGGCTAAAAAGGGAAAACAATTAACAGAAGAGACATTAATAATGATTGAAATTATGTAACTAATGGTAAAACACGTTGGATCATACAATACCAAATCACGACCCAAGGAAAACGACATAAAATGTAATATATATTCTTTTCTGGTCAAATTTAAATTCTCGTCTTTAAATTTAGTTGAATAAATTATAAATCTCACCCCTCAAATTTTCTTTTATTCTTGTTTTTGTCATTTAATTTAATCATTAAACGTAGACATTACTCATTACATTTTTATTCGATAAATAGTTAACAATGTTATGATATCACGGATAACACTAAAACAATATTATTTTAAATTTTTATTGTCGGAATCGTCATTCGGTTGGTTCGGAATTGGGCTTCGACTTGGATTAAACGAATTGGAGTCGTCATCGATAATTTATTTTAAACAAATAAGTTGATCAGATACCCTATTTCTTACCTGATCTGCGTCTTTCCAAAGATGTGTCGGATTCGGGAGTCGGTTACAGTCAAGGAAGGGTTAGCACCCTTGAACTGTCCTTTCAGTACTACACAATTTTCAGTTGTCTAAAATTAAGAAAATTGTAATTTAAAATTAAAAGGTAAAAATACGATCCCAATTACTTACCTTAGATAGTTTTAAAGATGTGCCCTTAAGAAGGTCAAAAAATCATGTTAGATAAAAATGTAAGAAATAAATAAATAAAATTAAAATGAAGAAAAACAAATTAAACAAAAGATAAAATAAGAAAACAAAGATAAAATAGTAAGTAAAATAAATAAATAAATATACAAAAATAATAAAATAAAGAAAAGAAGAAAAAAGTATATATAAATAAAACAATAAAAAAGTAAAAATAATATATATATGTATATATATAATAAATAAAAACATAAAAATAGTAAATATATATAAATTAATAAATAGATATAAAAATAAAATATATATATATATATATATATATATATATATATATATATGTAATCTAAAAATAAAAATATATACTAAAGTAAAAAGAAAATGCATAAATGTAAAAAATATTACATGAAAAAAGAAAAAAGAAAATAACAAAGAAATTAAATAAAATGAATAATAAGGGAAATGCGTGTATAAATAAAGTTAAATAAATAAAATAATAATAATTAAAACGTAAATATAAGGGACCGAATCAAAAGGAAAAACAAATTGATGGGCAAATTTTGAAGAAAAAAAATGATTTAGGGAGAAAATTAAATACTTAAAAACAGGAACACGCCTCAGGGGTAGATCTATGTTCAATACTTCGAAACCCCACCCCTTTTTGGTCATCGACGCAACCCACGTTTTGGGTTATTCGAATCAAATTTCAAGAAAAATAACATGCACATGCGAGAAATGAACGAATCAAGGTAAAAAAGATGTTACATTTTATTTCCTTTTTGAATCGTTTACAATAGCTTTTCCTTTGTATTTTTTCGTGCTTTTCTCTGTATTTTTTGTATGTAAATCGTGTGTTACAATGGTGAGTTACAATTGCTATTATAACGCTTGTGGATCCTATTTTTAGGAGTTTGAATCATAGTAGAACTCTATCATATTTTTAGGAGTTTGAATCCTAGTAAAACTCTATCATATTTTTAGGAGTTTGAATCCTAGTAAAATTCTAACGTTATGTTTGTTTTCTGAATCCCACTAAATTGGGGTTGTTTAGAGTGTTGTACCCAGATAAAAAGGTGTGTTGACAACTGCCTCTCTTTGCCTATAGTCGTGTAACGGGGATAGGACAAAGATTAAAAGATACACTTTTCGTTTGGTGGAGTTGAAAATTGACTTCGATGTTTCAATAACTCCATGTCGAATTGAGTTGCGGATGACTCATCCGTCGTGAAGTCGAGTTCATCTTGATATAGAATTGAAGCCGTAGTTCGGAATTTGAATCAGCACGTGGCTTCTCGTTGCCCTTCGGTCTTCTTCTTGGATCGGAATCGAACTCAGAAATCTTCGTTGACATATAGCTTTTCTTGACTTAAGCTATGCTGCTTGAAAATGGTTACTTGTCACTAAGGCACGGTTAACCCAAGTATTCTTCTTGACTTGAAAACCTCGATTATAACCGGACAGTAGTGTCATTGAGCTGAATGGAATCGAACTCGACCAATATATTGACAGATAACCTTTCTTGCCTTGAGTTATTCTTTAAATTTTGTTTGCCTCTGAGCTGAATGTAATCGAACTTGAAGGTCTCCGGTTGGCAGATAACCCTTCTCGACTTAAGCTATGCTGCAAATGATGTGCCTTGGAGCTGAGCGAAGTCGAACTCAAAGGTCTTTTGGTGATAGATAACCCTTCTACCTTTGAGTTATGCTGTAAATAATGTGCCCTCGAAGCTGAGTGTAATCGAACTCGAGGGTCTTTGGCAGATAGTTTTTCTCAACTTAAGCTATGCTGCATATGATGTGCCTTGGAGCTGAGCATAATCCAACTCGAAGGTCTTTCGTTGGTAGATAACCCTTCTCAACTTAAGTTATGCTGCAAATGATATGCCTTGGAGCTGAGCGTAGTTTACCTCGAAGGTCTTTTAGAGACAGATAACCCTTCTAGCCTTGAGTTATGCTGTAAATGATGTGCCCTCGAATCTGAGTGTAACCGAACTTGAGGGTCTTTGGTAGATAACCCTTCTCGACTTAAGCTATGCTGCAAATGATGTGCCTTGGAGCTTAGCGTAGTCGAACTCGAAGGTATTTGGTTGGCAGATAACCCTACTCGACTTAAGTTATGCTGCAAATGATATGCCTTAAAGCTGAGCGTAGTCAAACTCGAAGGTCTTTTGGAGATAGATAACCCCTCCAGCCTTGAGTTATGTAAATGATGTACCCTCGAAACTGAGTGTAATCGAACTTGAGGGTCTTTGGTAGATAGCCCTTCTAGACTTAAGCTATGCTACAAATGATGTGCCTTGGAGCTGAGCGTAGTCGAACTCGAAGGTCTTTGGAGATAGATAAACCTCTCTAGCCTTGAGTTATGCTGTAAATGATGTTCCCTCGAAACTGAGTGTAATCGAACTTGAGGGTCTTTGGCAATAATCATTCTCGACTTAAGCTATGCTGCAAATGATGTGCCTTGGAGCTGAGCGTAGTCGAACTCGAAGGTATTTTGGAGACATATAATCCTTATAGCCTTGAGTTATACTGTAGATAATGTACCCTCAAAGTGAGTGTAATCGAACTTGAGGGTCTTTGGCAGATAACCCTTCTCGATTTAAGTTATGCTGCAAATGATGTGCCTTAGAACTGAGCGTAGTCGAACTCGAAGGTCTTTGGTTGGTAGATAACCCTTCTCGACTTAAGTTATGTTGTAAATGATATGCCTTGGAGCTGAGCGTAGTCGAACTCGAAGGTCTTTTGGTGACAATAACCCTTCTAGCCTTGAGTTATGCTGTAAATGATGTGTCTTGGAGCTGAGCGTAGTCGAACTCGAAGGTCTTTGGATGGCAGATAACCCTTCTCGATTTAAGCTATGCTGCAAATGTTTATTTAAAAAATGGCTTCCCTTCACGGGTCTAAGCCGGTCATGACTCTTCAGGTGGTTCATTTGAGAGAGTCTGAACCAAATGAGACGATCTTTGAATGACTCCCCTTTTACGAAAAAACTCACTGATAAATTCTGACAGCCAGATATCTTCCGTTGTGGAATTGAAATCTGGCTTGAAGACATTAATTGGAAACATACTGCTCATTGTTGAGTTGAGTAGAACTGGATTTGTTCTGAATTTGTTCTTGAACCTATATGAAATTGATTCTGAGATCCGTAGATATGTCAAGTCGGTTGAGGTGTAGCCTCTCACTGCTGAGTTAAGCAATAACCATCGTTCTTTAAAGGCACTTGCGAATCGAGTATCCTTCATCCTGAAGTCGAAACTTGACTCTAAATGCTGCAAAAATTATGTATGCTAAAATGATGAATGTGATGCACATAAGTATGTCTAAGATGCATGCAACATGAATGAATTATGTGTTATCTCTTGGATGGAGTCTCGTGCTTTGTCTGTCAATCTGGTCCTTGGAATCGATCGTGCCCCATTCTCTTTTCGAGCTTTGGCTTTACAAACCTTTCAAATTTGAGATTTTTCTGTTTGAAAATGTTTTTCCTCCTTTCTTGTTTTAGGAGGGGAAAAATATTGTGAAATATTGCTCCTTAATTTAGGCTCGCAATTGAATCAAATTGTAAACATGAGTTCAAAGAATATCAAAGGAATCAAGAGCTCTTTTAATGCTTTCAGAGTTACAGCTCTTTGACAAATGTTCAAATGGATGAGTTTGCTTTAGGTTGGTCTCCTTTCTAAGGTTTCGGTAACCCAAAATGTCATTTTTTTGAAATCGCAACATGCTTTGGCATTTCAATTGGGTGCAGACAAAATGACGCAACTAGCATGATTAATTACTAGACCTTTATTTCGGTCCTATGAATCTTCCATTTGTTCAAGTTTTGTAAGCTCCTCTAACAAATGTATCTGGCTAGCTGAATTCATAAAGCCGGGGGCGTTTAACCAATTGCTTTAGAGGGACAACTTAACATTATAATCAGTTTTATCAAGTTCACTGAAGGGTTCATCTCATCACAAAGTCTTCAGCCGGACAATAGCAGTGGTACAAACACTGAATTGCCAAGTGTTTGAGCAATGTTATGGTTTAAACGTAATATACTCATAAGGCCAGAGCTTTCAAGTTTCCTCTATAACCAATTGACTTAGTGAAATAGCACAGCTTTACGGATTTAATTTCTTAAGTTTGTCAAGAAGAACCTGTTATAGTCTAGGTGTTGTTGAAAGTCAATGAATCTTATTTTAGAGTTCAATTTCCAAGCAACTAACCTAAACTAGATTTACCTTCTCAACTATTCCATCTGTAAAGATAATGATCATCATTGAACGTCTTAAATAAAACGTATAGTA